CGTCGCCGCTCCGTCGCCCCCTGGATTCTCCTTTACAAAAGGATAATGGGATCTACCCCCCACCCCCCGCAGATTTGACCGCTCACCTTTTCGTATTGCAATTTCAACATGACTATGCCTCATGTCCATCCTAGATATAGTTCGTGCCATACCAGCAAAACCGGTAACGGCTCCCCCCCTCATCCTCTACAACAAAAACTACGCGCGCGCATTCGTTTATCACAAACCCGAATTATTCAAGAATCCCTCGCAGAAAGAAAACGAAACGCACACGCGCGCGTCGTCGCGCGCGCATGCCGAAATCATTCAAAAGCCGCAGGTTTCGAAGGGGTTTCAAAATCGAGTGCCCCGAAAGCATCTACAAACACATGGTCTCGCAACAATAGTGTTCAAACAACACCTGCGCCCGCGCTCTTGCGAATTCTGAAGAAACACCTAAGAAGTTTTTCTGCATTTCCATAGAATGCTACCAAACAGGCCTCCCGCGCGCGCTGTCGCAAGAATCCCTTGCAAACAACGGGACGAAGTGCACACGCGCGTGTCGTGGGCGTGCGCGTGCGCGTGCGCGTGTGCGTGTGCGTGTGCGTGTGCGCGTGCGTGTGCGTGTGCGTGCGTGCGTGTATTGTGCGTGCGTGTGTGTGTGTGTGTGTGTGGTCGTGTGTGTGTGTGTGAGTGTGTGTGTGTGTATGTGTGTCTGTGGGTGTGTGGGTGTGCGTGTGCGTGTGCGTGTGTGCATGTGTGTGAGAGAGAGAGTATGTGTGTGTGCGTGCGTGTCTGTGGGTGTGTGGGTGTGCGTGCGCGTGTGCGTGTAAGCGTGCGCGTGTGCATGTGCGTGGTGCATGTGTGTGTGCGTGGTGCGTGTGGTGTGTGGTGCGCGGTGCGTGGCGTGTGTATTGCAACCTGTCTTCGGCCAGCCTGGGCGCGTCATTGACACTGTCCTCTCTCGGTGGCTTGGCTACCCACCAAGGAATTTACGGCATGGCGAGTTAGGCTGGCTTCGGGCCCGCATGTGCGTGTTTTTACGTGTGCTGCGCGCTCCGTCGCCGCCTGTTCATGCTGTCACAGCGTCCGCGTTCGGCGACGCGTATCTTACTTTGGGGTCGTGCTGTTGTGGTGCCGCCGTGCCTCGTAGGGTTAGCACTCCACCCGTGCTTGCTAATGCATCTTGCGCCGCCAGCTCGTAGGTCAGCACCCTACCCATCAGTTCCGCCAGGCTATAACCCCCTCGACGCTACCCCACTAATCAGCTGGTCTGGCAGCGTTGCAGTTGCTTGTTTCACCGCCCAACATCGCTACGATGATTCAGTGGCACCAATTGGCACCAGACTGCTGGCGCTTCAACTTATTCGAGTCGAGCGTTCGGTTCCTCGCTTAGTTGGCCGCTGCACGCTGGCTTTACAGTACCTCACTTTACTCTCACCTATCCTTCTGAACTGCAGTGGTGGACGTATCCTCCACTGCGCGTTACGACACAGTTCGTTCGCAATTCGCACCTCCATCAGCTGACCGCGCCTGGGGCTCCTCTGCGCCGCTGACAAAAAAGTGTGTGTATGTGTGTGTCGCATGCCGAAGGGACAGCGTTCGAATCACAGGTGGAACGAACACAACCCTGCCCAAGAAGGCTACTAAGGCCTAGGGCTCTCGAGGCTCGAGGAGGCTAGAGAGCACAGAACGCGGTCCCCTGTGGGTTTGGGGGGGGGCGTGCGTGCGTGCGTGCGTGCGTGTGTGCGTGCGTGCGTGCGTGCGTGCGTGCGTGTGCCTGTTTGTGTGCGTGCGTGCGCGCAGCCGAAGCCTGGAAATCCGCTGACCCTGTCGGCTTGTGGGAGACGCTCTTCTGTTTGACTCGACGTCGTCGTCGTCGTCGTCGCGTTTGACCCCCATTGCCCTGGATCCGTCGCCGCTGCCCCCCTGTCACTGGGCCCTCCTCCTCAAGAGCGCCAGCCAAAGCGAAACGTTGAGCAACGTCGTAGTGGAGTCGAAGGGGAGCACCTTCCCTTTGATCCCTTCCCCCCTGGGGCATCCCCTGGGGGGGGGTCCCAGGGGGGGTCCCAGGGTCCCTGGGTCAGAATACCTCCCTCCCCTGGGGGGTCCTGGAGCCCCCAAAGAAATCCTGGGGCCCCAAAAAGCCCCAAGACAGCCCAAGAGGCCTCCAGGACGGTCCAAGAGGGCTCCGAGTCGCCAGCAAGCGGTGCAAGACGCCAAAAAAGGCCTCCTGACGGCCCAAGAAGCCACCAAAACGGCTCCAATAGCCCGAACATTTCGAGCCCTCGGCCCCGGGAAGCTTCCATGAGGCCCCAAGAGGCCCCGACGAGGCCCCATGAGGCCCCCAAGAGGCCCCCAGGAAGCCCGAAGGGACCCTAATGTGCTGGTATATGCGGTAGGCGTCCTTTGGCCTTGCCGCATGCTCCCTGAGCTTTGCCCGGGGCGCGCTCGGGTCATCCTGCTCAGAGGCCGCCGTGGCAGTGCCTGAGCCTCAGCCCGAAGACCACCCACCCACCCCGGAGGAAGAGGGAAGGGGAGGGAGAGGGCCACCCTCCGCCGATGCCACCACGTTGGCCGCGGACGCCGGCACCGCGCCGTCAGCCTGGGGGTCAACGACGCTCTATCTGGGTGGGGGGGCCAGGGCCCCATGCACAAAGGACACCATCGGGACACCGTCGTGACGGGACACCAAATCGACGCCCCCAGGACCCCGCACCCCGCCGGCCAGGAGGCCACGAGGGGAGGGGGAGGAAGAATACGCCACTTCCGCGGATACCGCGTCACCACCGGGTGCCGCCTGCGCGGCTTCCGCGGTCTCTTCCACCAGCCTCCGCCGAAGGGACCCGCCGTCCCCCGCCGGCCCAACTTCCACCTCTTCCCACGCGGACGCTTCCGCCAGCCACCGCCGCGGGGCACCGAGGTCCCTCGTTCCGCTGCGTTGCAGTGCCTCCAAGAGGCTCGCTCCCACGAGGCCCCCAAGATGCTCCCAAGAGGCCCCCAAACTGCTTCTGAGGCCTACGAGCGCGCTCCGAGGAGGCCCCACGAAGCATCGCTGAGGACTCTGCCCCCCATCGGCGTCGTCGTCGCCGCCGACGCCGCCGTAGTCGTGGTCGTCGTCCCCTTCAGGGTCGGCGGCACTGGCCGCAAGGCCTTCCCAATATAAGCAAATCATAAGTCTTTAGGCATGCACTACGTGACAACATTTATGTATTAAAAAACAGACGCTTAACGACCACGCTGAATTGTCTCAGAAGTGCGTTCAATACCCGCTTTGGAGAATAAGAAAGAGTAGCGTGGACTGCCTGAGCGCCGAACGAGGCGTCGTCGCTGCCAGTCTGAACCTGGGTCAGCTTCTTCAGAAATCTGGGCGCGAGCAAGCGGGATATGGAGGAAGACAGGGAGAAGGCAGGACGAAGAAGACGAGGGTGAGAGGGGGCTGATGGGGGGAGGGAGCAGGAAGAGGAAGAGGACGGATGGATAAGGGGGGGGCTTGGGCAGGGGAGGGGGGGGAGACAAAAAAGGAGGAGGAGGAGGAGGAGAGGAGGGGCGCATGACGGCAGGGTGAACGAGGTGCATATATATATATATATATATAAATAAGTTAAGTAAAACCGTCGCGCGCGTTCAGGTCCTAGCTGGTCGAATGCTGACCGCATTGAGACAGCAAGGCGGTCATGAATAATGAAACCAACATTCTCTGTTTCCTCATGCTTTTTCCTCATTCTTCATCCTCCGCTCTCATTGACCGGTCGACAGGTGATTTGTCGGCAGGTTATGGGCCAGGAAAAATGCAGCGCTGCAGCGCCATGTTGCACTATGCTATGGAATGCCATGAAACACCATGCTGCGCTATAAAGTGCAATACCACAATGCAGTATGCAATACAATAACGCGATCTACTCTACAGTGCGCATTGTGTGCCATGCCATGCTGTGCTGTGAAGTGCTATGATAATATATGGGTGATACGCTGAGCCATATCGTGTTATGTTTCCTATGAAAACCGATGCTGTCGCGTTACATGATATGCACAGGCACGGCATGCCGTGCTATGCAAAGCAATGCAATGCTATGCCATGTTATGAGCTGCTAGGCTAAAACAATCTGGAAAACAGTAAGAGCAACAACGGGGGTGTGATATGTTCATGATTTCTGTTTACTGTTGCGCTGACCAGTACGGGGCTGTTCGATAAATGTATGTGCATTGGAGCGCTATGATACGTCACGATGCGTTATGAGATGCAATGCCATGCTGGGCAATGTTACGTCATGACGTGCAGCGCTAGGCACAACCCAACACTGCTATATAATGCAATTCGCCGGCCCAACGGGCGAGAGGCGTGCTAAGATCTCCGGTAACTGGTTTAACAAGATTTCTAGTTCGCACGCGCGGGGCGGCCCCTGGGGGTCCCCGGACGAAAAGTACCCTGGCAAGCTTCCGGGCAGGTCCCAGACGGTCCGACTCAGAGATGGCTTTCCTCCTGGGCGCCGCCCTCGAGGCCCTCCAGAGAGCCCCAGGAAGGGCCGCGAGGCCGCCAAGAGCCCCGCAAGATGGTTCAAGAGTGTTCCGAGATGCCACACGCTCGCTTCAAAACGCCCAGGATGGCTCCCAGACGCCCCAACAGGCCCACAAGAGGCGTCCCAAGAGGGCCCCAAGAGGCAAAAATCGTCCCATTCGTTAAGCAAAACGAATATGTTTAGCATTTTCGCCACCTGAGCTTTCACAACGTCAAAAGCGGCCCAAGAGGCCCCCCAAGATCGCCCCAAGACGGCCCAAGAGGCCTCCATGAGGGCCCAAAAACCGCATCCGAGGGCCCCAAGACGACCCAAGAGGCCTCCAAGACAGCCCAAGAGGCCCCCAAGACGGCTCCAAGCGGGGGTCCAGATGGGAGACCCGCACGGATATTTCGAGCCCTCGGCCCCGAGAGGCCCCCAGGACTGCCCAAGAGGCCCCCGAAAGGCTCCCAAGAGGCCCCAAGAGGCCCCCAAGAGGCCCTAAGATGCCCCCACGAGGCTCTC